GCTTCCCTGTGCGAGGGCGGATGCTCTCCGGTGCCTCCCCTTCCTCTCCCGCCAAGGCCGCCACCACCGCCGGGACCTGTGGGCCGCCGCCAGGACCTGAGGTAATGAATGCCCTGACTGACGGCACCCCTTCCCTTCCCTTCCTCAGGGTCCCGCGCCGCCCTATGGAGAGCGTATACGGATCAAATGGTTTTCAATGCATTCCTATGGGAATGCAGATTTTGACATGCAAACTTTTTGACTTGCAAACTGCCTTCCAATACGCATTAAGTTCGCAAGTCAAGACCCCACTATATCTTGGAACTGCAGAGCTGGAAGCGACCCTGTGGATAATCAAGTCCAGCACCTGTCAAAGAGATATAGTGGGGAATTGAACTCCCAACCAGATGCCTTAGCCATTGAGCTATCCAGCAGTTCTACTATGACTGAAACATCTCAGACATTTAGTCATTGCAGAATCTAGAAATGAGATATTAGTGCTTAGAGATTTGGCAAGAGTGTACTATAGGTTCTTAACAGAGTGAAGGAATTGTCAAAATTTGTTCCTTTAAGTGAACAAGGGGTTAAATTTAATATTGTAGTGAGAATGCAAAATCATGCCTGTAAATATCAAGTCAATGCATGACTGATGGCTTGCAGCTGGAACAAGCTTAGATAATGCTTGTGACGGCTGCGATGACGTCACCTGCCTATCAATGTTATGCTGGAGCTCAACTGCCTATAGCAGGGCAGGAGGTGGAACTCCAGGAGGTGGAGCTATGTATATAAGGGGGGAGTGAATGATGTGTGCGAGATTGAGCTAGGATGAGAAGATAGAGTTAGGAACCAGAGGATGAGAGTTTCAGTTTGAGTTAGGGCATGTATGTTATGAAGTACTGTGTTAGATAAGGTCTGAGTGATAGAGTGATTGAAGGGATTCTTTATTTTAATGATTGACTTATTCAGTTCATATATTGATTTACTATATATTAAGTTGTACCAATAAACTATAATTTTTATTTTTAAAATCCATACCTTTGTCTGAGGAGTCAGATATATGTGTGTGGTTGGTGGCAGCGTGTTAAGAGAAAGAAAGTGTGAAGTGGCGTCCCCTCTGTGACGTATGAGGAGGCGGCCACAATAAAAATTTGGTGGCAGCGGTGGGATACGAGTTGTCCAGTTGTCCAGTTGTCCAGTAAAGCCTTGGCTAGAGTGACCAGAGCAAAAGGACTTCAGTTAGTGTCACCTGGAGTGAAAAGTGTGGGTAACTCTTCAGGATTTGACTCACGGGGAGCAAATGTAGTGGAGAGGCACTTAAGCTTCAGAGTGGACAACTGATTTATGAGCTCTGTAAGGTCAATTTTGTGAGGGAGATTAGCCCAAAAGCAGAGGCTGTGGCAAATTGGTCAGAGGGTCCTGAGTTAGGTGAACTCTGAGAGGACAGACCAAGC